AAACGAAAAAAAAGTTGAATGTTCGGATTTTGATGTTGAGTTAATCTTACAAGTTCTCTTCGTGAGGTTCATTTCTTAGTTTGTTCATAATAATGTATATATGTTCAAAAATATTGTTTTTATCCAATTATAAACCCTTGTCACTATTGTTAATGACCTTCCGTTCAGGATTAATTAGAAATTTGTATTCAGTTTCTACGATTTCGTCCAGTCTGTATTCTAGGATTGCTTGCTATAGATGAATCGGTGCTAGGTCTAGATTTTCTTTTGAATAATTTCAAGCAACCTCCAAACCACTCTGATGTTAAAGCAGCAGCTCCAATTAAAAATCCAGCACCCAGGAGTAAGAACATTCCTTGGGTGTCTTCTAGCGTCAAAGCTCTATCTTCGTAACTAAGAATTTTGAGACCAGTTGTCCTGGAGTTGGCCTGAAATAAGATGAGTAACAAAACACTTTTTTTCTAATAACGTCAGATTTGTTCAGCAGTTTTAAATTCAAGTCCCAGGTTTAAGGTACCGTAATTTGTGTTGAATTCGAACGCCTTTTCGATGTATTTTGAATATAACTATCATGCGGGACATCGAAAAAATTCCAACCTTTTGACTTAGAGAGAAAGTTCGTTCGAAATAGGTATATATATGAAAATATTTTTTTATTTGTGAAAGTCATTCGAATTTACCCCTGTGTGTGTGGGGTCAATTTGAATAGAGCTCTAATATACATGAAAAATCGAATTTCAGTCCTTGAAAGGGATTCGAACAATTTCAATTAGGAAAAAGTCAATAAGCCAAATATGAGCTCAACTGGCTCAATAATATGAATTTCTCAAATGACCAGAAAAATTATTTAAAATATCAAAAATATAAATGGGTACATAAAACTTAATAATATTTTATTTTGGTAAATACTTAAATGACCACCTGTTCCTTCTGAGGTCCGTTGGTGGTTTCAGCCCCATTATAACGTCCTCTGAATTCACCAAAGACTTGTCCCTAACATCCGAGTAGTGAAAATAATTCAGTGTTTTGTGTCAGAAAATCTATCAAAATGAGATCAGTCTGATTGAAAATGTTCGTAATTTTGCCAAGATAATATTGATCCTTATTTTTGTGACAAACTTAATCAGGACGAAGTCATCTATCCTCAAATTCTGAATAGGGCCTTCTAAATTTTCGTTCGATGATGCAGCAGTCGAGGCAACATTTTCATCGTCTTCCTCTGTCTCACATTGAAAACAATAGAATCATGTGGCTGATCTAACTCATCTTCAGANACTCATCTTCAGAAAAAACTCTTCAGCTGGATTTTTTCAACTAGATGATTAATGTCTCGTGCTGTTATACCTTTGCCTGGTGCACATCAACCTTTTTGCCTCTTCTCACTGCTTGTTCATTTTCTAGAGATCTTGATTGTTGCATGAAGTTGACGAATGTCAACGACCGTCGCTAAGCAATATCAACATGCCTTTCCTCTCGCTATTTGTTCTTCAGTAGGTAAAGGTATTTGCTTCAGAACACTATCCCGATTGCAAGGAACTATTCCACACGTTCTAAATCCTGATATTACATTTTTTGCAGCATCAACTCCAGCCTCATCAAGAAGTCTCTTCAGTAACTTTGGAAACTCTGATTTCGGCAGCACTCCTTAATTTTTTGTTTCCACTCCGTCAAAATTTTCTGCCAAATTTTTTTGAACGGAGCAAAAAAGGCAGCATCTAATGGTTGGAGTAAATGTGTTGCATTGGGTGGTAAAAAGATGAACTCAGTATTATTCTGCTCGCATAATTCTATCACTTGAATAGAAAGGTGACTGGATAAATTATCTCCGATCAGAATTTTTTTGCCGTCACATTTCTTGAAATATGGCAGTGCGATCTTCTCAAACCAGTCTTCGTATATAACTCCTTCGAACCAGCCGCTCTTAGTTCTGTTGTAGACAGCATCATCGAGGCCATTTTCTGTCCATGTGGGATATAAGTGCTTTGTAGACGACATATGGTGCCAAAACTTTTCTTGAGGCAGGCAGGTAGAACCGTTCACTCAAAGAACGATGCCTCTTCAAAAAAAATTGTTAAACCAATCGAGACCAAGCATATTATCCTTGGCATATTTTTATTCTTTTCCCCTACTTTCCAGGAATTGTTTGACCAAAACTGGGATATCTGCTTTGGTGAGAAGGAACTCCATTTTTCCGCCTTCTGTATTCCTCGTGAAAAGCTCAGTTCTTCTTCATCATCCAGAGCTGTTTGTCCTCCGGGAACTGCTGGGTGGATTCCTTTAATTTTATTGCACAGTGCAGCAATTGGTTTATTATACACCTCTGCAGCCCTTCTATATGCCATTCTTCTTTCTTTCACGGCAGTCGTTGCCCTTTCCAAAGAAACCGAGGAATAATTTCCATACTGCACACAGCCAAGCTGTTTTTTTGTGTTTTCGTACCATGTTCGAATTGACCCCACTGAAAGTGAAACATTTTGTTTAATTATTTCTGAGAAATCCACTTTTACCACTTTTTGCAATATCGTGGTGAAATTGATTTCTCGACAACATATGGATGATCATATACACCAATTTTAAAGTTGGCACAAGATCACATAGCAAAATTACAATAGCTTGTTTGTGGCGTATCGAGAAATGTATAAATGAGCCGTCGGGATTCACATATTAATCTATGTTATACTCACCATTGAAAACGTCTGAACTTCACGAAAGTATCATCTCGACTGTTTCACAAAAAATAGGTGGTTGATACCTGAATCACGGTAGAAAGCTATACTGTGCTTGAATATTTTGCTCCAGAGGAAGAAAATTGTAAACACAGCCAAGCGTTCGAAACCGCCGGACACGTTCGAAGTCACCCCAAATTACGGTAATAAAAGTAAAAGGAATGAAACATTAATGAATATATGGCGAGTTTTTAGTAATAATAAAAAATGCTTACTTCAACTCTACTTACATACTGAAATTTATTGACCAGCGTTTACTTTTCTCGGATGAAAAAGAAATTGGTTGAAATATATCAGAGAATGATGAAACAATTGAGTGAACTTTATCTATTAAACATGTTTCTCTCAAAATATGGTTCTGTATGAATGGTTCTTTATTTCTTGATATAACTACTGCCTTTTATAACAAACTACTGCATGACTTTGTCTTTTAGATATTTTGATTTTAAGAGCTTTAAAATGTCTGATTAGGTAATAATCAAATTCATCTGCTGTTTCTAGTAAAAACCGGTACTCATTATTTGAGTGAAAGCATTGGTTAGCAATCTAAATATTGGTGCAGTTAGTGATTTTATACTCACTGCAAGCAATTTTCCTGTTGGACTCCTCATAATTTCCCACTCGACATCTGATTTCATTTTGCTCAGAAGACCTGTTTGGATAATTGACTGTATTCCTTGGTTGAGAATTTCGCCGTAAACTGACCTTTTTGGAAAAACTAATGCCACATTGAAAAGTGCAAAGCACTGAGAACTTATGTGCAACATAGATCTTTTACTTCTGAAATGAAAGGAAATATTAGAATTTGTCGGTCTCAATAAAAGCCTTGTTTGGCTTGATAATTTGTTGTCATAGTGGAAGCATAGTGGTAATATAGCATTTTGAAACTGACATTTTCAAAGATGGAGCTCATCTTACCACAAGAGAATTAGGGTCATTTGTGGCTTATTTTGGTACAAACTCTGGTGTAATCAAATTAGATGAAGATATGCAGAAGTCGGAATAATGTAAATTTTAAAAGATGTAAATTCCATGTTTACTTACTCTACAATACAAGAATGAAAGTTTCGATGCCGGTAAATGGCTTATATATTGTTTCGGTCTCTTGTTTTTGAATTCCGAGGAACTTGATGATTTTTATATTTTTGAGTTGAATGAAATAACAAAGTCGAAAACTATAAAGTTTTCACAACATCTTTTAAAAACATATTTGACTAGTTGATGAATAGTTCCACTTCGTATTTGTGCAGGGGCTTCTGCAGATTTCAAGTAAACAACAAATGCTGGGATATTCTTTCATTTCAATAATTTGTTATATCAAAAACATCCACCGTTACTTTTTTCGTCAACAAACATGAATTTATAGAGTCGGTCGGTAGCCAGGCGGTTCGACGTGGGTGCTTTGTTCACTCACTCGAATTGACTGCCGTGTTGGTCGGTGGTTCAAGCCCTAGTCTGAATGATCGATATGATTGGGAAGAGGATTAGGAATTCGAATTTTTCTAGTTTGTCAAATCATATACTCTATTTACATATTGCATTCATGGTTAATATAATTTAATTATCTCATCTATTCAACTAGTAGACGTTGGAGTTGAGATTTTGTCATGTGATTCTGTAATTATTTGAATACTGTAACGAATCTGAAGCCGCCCCTGTACGCCGGCCGAATCATGTGACACACTCATGACATCACCGCGAAAGAATGCAGTCGACAACCTCCGGTAAAACTCTAGTCGAGTACCGAACCGACTACAGATTTCTAGAAAGGACCGTTACATTATATAAGCACGCCTTCCCGACCCAAGACGGCAGTTCAGAAAGTGAATCGAGCGGTTAAACAAGGAATTCAAATAGTGAAAATAAATTAAGCGTTAGTTGCTAAGTGTTGTAAATATATTAGTTTGTGATTAGTGAAATATTGTTGGAAATAAATTTGTTTAAGACAGTCAATTCATTAATTTGTTACAATACAAAGAAACGGGATGAACCCACCAGACAGCACTATTTCGACCCAAACAGCGCTTTCTGGTGTTGAATTACAAGTTTATCTTTGATTCGATGATTGAGTTTTTTATCGTTCTCATAATGACGTCTTCATAGGAGAAGATGTCATCGCCTTTACAAAAGAATGTGTTTGAACTGTCGATTTAAATTTCAGTGATTTGTGAATATACGTGAATTATACACACAAATTCAGGGTGTGCTCCTGTGCGAAAGGAAACTTCAAAGAATCCCCATAATAAATGAAAAATTGATATGCATCATATGGAATGAAAACAGCCCAATGGTGTTTTTCTCTGGGGGATTTGTCATCCTCCCTGAATATGTTCCTTTGTATATAATCGTGAGTTTGAATTGTCGATTATAAATTGAGAATAGTATGCCCTTCAGCGCATTTGTACAAGGTCCCTTTTTTGGATATTCAAATATAATTTGTTTCCCAAGCACCAAGCATGAACCAACAAATGTTAACGTCCGAAATAGATTAAATTTTGCTGTAAAGTTTTGAATCATCAACAAAAAAAAATTAGAACATTTATGCTTTGGCATAGATCGTTTTCAAAAAAATATGTATAACAAAGAGTCTAAAGTTAGAACCCTGTAGCACACCTAAGCTACCAGAGTATGGAAGATTTGAATGCTTTTGTCAAACACGTATTCGAAAATTACTGGATAAAGGGAATCCTTTAAACTGAAGTCTTTGAATTCAGCCAAAAGAATGTAATGATATATTTGATAAAATACTTTTTGAAAACCTTAACAAATAACATCGGCTTGACCTTGAATATAAAAGAATAAGTTCATATATTGGTTATAACATGCTATACTGAAATTCCATAATAGTAGGCACTGCATTCTTAGAAATATTATTGCATTAAAACAAAACATTGTTGTCAGGTTCTGATTCTATATATTTCATCATCTTCTATTTGAATCATACACACGCAGGTAAACGGTCATAGAATAACAGACAACGTGTTTTATTTATTAAAGAAACTGTTTCATAGAGATAGAGATATTGAAAAATGATGATTTGTATTGCCCCGTTGTAAACAATTAAACAAACCATATATCTTTTATCTGAAACATTTTATCATACTCCTCATTATAGGCGAGATACTGTGCTTCTTCACACTAATGGGCCACCCTGTATATATACAGTGTGTCTCACTTATGGAAACACCCCCGAATCTTCCGTAATAATCGAGGTAGAATGATGAAAATCTCAGGACTGATGGAAATGCTCTTAATGCACCTGCCATATGAATGGGGTTGGCCAAAGTGATATACACTGCCCGCCAGTCGCGATGGATCAACACAGTTTTACGGTAAAACATACTAGGGGGCAAAATAGGCTCAAAATTTCTTTAGATTTCCGATCAGGACTACCAACTTACTACAAGTGCACTTTTTCCCCGAAAAAAATTCAGTCCTGAACTGATGGAAATGCTCAAAATGCACCTACCACCTAAATGGGGTTGGCCAACAACCTTTTTTTACGGTAAAACATACTAAGGAGCAAAGTAGTTCGCTTTCAATATCTGAACCCCTTCATTATATCTGGAGAGTACTCTCAGGTATCAAAGATGCAGATATTTCCACGGATTTGTTTCGCTGTGAGATGCTATCAATTTTTAGCTTCTCTGAGGAAAATATCACAGCACCATATTCTCAGATTATCGAGATTGTGTGGAGCAGTGTATGAAAATATAATATAACTGAGAAAGACTATTCGTAAAACTAATTCTGGGTGCCGAACATCCAAATTCTATCCCAACCAGAAGTGGGGGTTCTCCGATTGATGAGCAAATACCGCAAAAAATTGAAAAAAATATATTTTCAAAGGTTCACATTTTGAAAACTGTACATTTTTGAGCTTTGGCTGTGGACAATTTCAATCAGCACACCAGGAACTGCAACAAATCAAAATTTCGGCAAAATTCACGGTAAGCCATTTCACATGAGAAATGTGCGGGGTCCTTTATTAAAATATCGAGGAAACATTTTGCCAACCGAAACAAAATTAATCTTCATACTCATTGCAAGACATTGCAAAAGTCGCACTCGGTAAACAGGTAGAATTTAGATTATTTTACTTACTTGCTGAAACGTTGTCTGGAAATCATTTAAAGGGATTGAATTATATCAGTTTCACTAGATAAAAATCATGTAGTGCCCTGAGATTACCATGGGAAATAGTTGCTCATTGCTATTTACTTTCAACTTGACAATATTGTTGAAAGATCTTGCTGTAGTAACCCCAGACCAGTTTTCATTGCAATTGTTGGTTCTAGTATGGTTGTTTCTTGTATCACTGTCGTTCCTATTGTTTCTGCCGTGTTTTTGTTCCCATTGGGGTCATTGTTTCTGTGTTTGTGTTGGGTATTGTTCCTGTATTCCAGTTGTTTTCTGTTTGTGAGTTCCTATTTTTACTGATTTCATCTCATTTTGAATAACGAAGTTCAACATGGCACGACTGGAATTGTTTTCATTGTTGGTGAAGGCGCGAGATCTTATCGTGAAGTGGCCGCTGAATTCAATAGAAGACACCCGCTAGAGGGTGTCTTCTGTACATCCTAGAACTGTCCATAAAATATATAATATTTTCGTGAGCACTGGCCAAGTAACAAAGGACAGAAAAATTGTAAAACAACATACTGAAGATTATACCATATTGGCGGCTTATCAAGCTGATCCTAGAATTAGTTTGAGAAAGTTATCGCTTCAACCCAATATGAGCCGCAGTAAAATATGGAGGTGATTGAAGAGGCATAAAATGCATGCCTTCAAACCCAAATTTCTACATACTTTGCACGAAGGAGATGAAATCCGCCCTATGGAGTATTGTTTATGGATACAGAGAAATTATCTGAATGAGAGGAATTTTTTAAAATATTATACAGTGATGAGGCTACCTTTACCACGAATGGTGTTGTATCTTCCCAGAACATGAGATTTTGGGCTGAACAAAATCTAAATGGACGACTATTCGTTGATTTTATCTAAAATGAATTTTCCGATGTGTTGGAAGAACTACCTTTAGATGTGGGACACAACATGATTTTTCAGTGAGATGGTTTACCAGTTCACAATAGTGGCATAACAAGGGTTTGGTTGAATAGGAACCTACCTATGAAATGGATAGGATCCGATAGCCCTCTCGTAGTATGGCTACCGCGATCCCCAGATCTAACTCCACTGAATTTTTATTTATAGGGAACGTTGAAAAATGAAGTTTATTGGGATAGGCCAACAAATAGAGAAGATATACGTGCAAGAATTATACGAGCGTGTAGAGAAATCACACCTAGAGAACTGAGAAGAGTTGGAGGGAATAAGAAAAGTGTATATCACTTTGGCGAAACCCAGTTGGGTGTTATGTGCATTTTGAGCATTTACATCAGTCCTACCTCAATTATTACGAAAGATACGGGGGTGTTTCAACGAGAAGTGAGACAAATATTTCAGGACTGATTTTTTTCTCAGGAAAAAGTATATTCATAGTAAGTTGGTAGTCCTGATCACGAATCCGAAGCCTATTTGGCCTTCTAGTATGTTTTACCGTAAAAATGGTTTGTTCTATCGCGAGTGGCGGGCAGTGTGTATCACTTTGGCTAACCCCATTGAGGTGATAGGTGCATGTTGAGCATTTCTATCAGTTCCGAGAGTTTCATCATTCTACCTCAATTATTACGGAAGATACAGAGGTGTTAGAAGTAAGACAAATTCGGATTCTTCAGGACTGATTTTTTTCAGGGAAAAAGTGTATCCGTAGTAAGTCAGTAGTTCTGATCACGAATCTGAAGGAATTTCGAGCCTATTTTGCCCCCTAGTATGTTTTACCGTAAAAATGGGTTGTTCTATCGCGAGTGGCGGGCAGTGTGTATCACTTTGGCTAACCCCATTCAGGTAATAGGTGCATTTTGAGCATTTCCATCAGTTCTGAGAGTTTCATCATCTACCTCAATTATTACGGAAGATACGGGGGTGTTTCCATGAGAAGTGAGACACACTGTATAAGTATGATGAGCTTTTTTCTCGGGTTTCACTCCGTGTTCTGTGTATTTTATCCTCATAAAGTTATTCTCACAACATTTTGGCAAAACCTCATTTGCCATCTTCTGGTGATGTCTGGAGTATGATATAATGTAGCAAAATAAATTAGTATTATCTCCGGACAAACCTAATATGCCTATCTGATAGCTTCCGCTTAATAACTGGCTAACACTATCCATGGTGGTTGGACTAACTGGTAATGTCACGAAGGCAATTATCGACCCGGTGTAACAAGCTGTAATAATGATGGTGAAAAGCCAGTAAAATCCTGGAAAAAAAAATCATCAGCAAACTTTTTTGTTTGAAAATACTACTCACCAATCAGTATCTTCGTAGTTAGCTTATTCGCTTTGCTCCAAGACGCTTTACCGGTGAACGTGAAACAATTCGTAAACGTACCAAAAACATACCAGAACATGTTTTCAATTTCCTCAGGATTCTTCAGTAAATGCCTCAGCGTGTGCTTGTCGGAATATGTCAGAGCGAATATTGCTAATAAATAAGTGATAATCAGCGTGAGCCATACTGTCCACTGAAATGGACCCATAATAGCTCTATATCTGGAAATTAATAGCATTGATACTCGTATTCCTCTTAGATAATATACATTACTTTAAACATGTCACAGAATAAATTGAAAAACATTTTTTCAAATAGTACTGAATACATTATTCTGAATTGATTGGTGAAATCAATGTACCGAACGCGTCAATATCAACAGAATACTAAAAAATAAATGAAGCGGCTATTATCGTTTCTCCAATACCTGCCCAAAATATTTGAATAGAGAACTTTCACACTATTCAATCGGATGTTAATATTTCAAAAAACATAGAGGCCAAGCTGTACATACTTAGACCACTTCATTGTGCGTGATGAAAATTTGGAACATCACAGACCAAAATCCTATCACAAAAACCATAGGCTCTCACGGCCAAGTCATGATTGAAAAGAATAAAATTTGGGCTGATAAGGCGTATTCTAATAGAACTGGTAGTACCAAACGTTTCCTCTGCTACTGCGGCAGACATCAGTAGTATGTTTCTTGACTGCTAGGACAACCGTTATATCTCAGTGACGACTGTCACTCGTTATCAAGACTCGAACTTGTATATCTGAGTTTCTATCCCCTCGCTATACAGTCTTGGATAGTCTCTGAGCGCTATCGAGTAGTCGGGTCTCAACAAACGCAATAACGTGGATACCTTCTCAACAGTAACGAACCATGCACTCAGAGAAGGTACCCAGGTTACCACGTTGGGAGAGACCCAAGTGCTCGATAGAAATCAGAGCTACTATCCAGGACTATACTCGTATAGGGAAGGGATAGAAATTCAGAAATGCAAAAACAATTCCAATCAAGACGAAGAGAAAATCAACAATAATAAAATTTGGCTACCTCGCTCAATTTCTCTCGCATCAGGTCTTTTAATTCAACCAATAGAAACGATGCCACGCTCACCAATAATGGACTGTAATCACATAATCAAACCAATTCTATAGAATCCGTTTTGAAGACAACCAGAACACTTCGATCATTACCTCGTGGCCTTTGATTATCTACCGCAGTCGCCGACGAAACGTGAGGCAAAAAACCCGGAAAATATATTTGACACAGTTATCTTCTGGCTAACTTGATTGGTGGATCGCGCGTTAAGAAGAATGTTGCAGTTATGATGTCTACAGTGGTTTTCTACCTAGGAAGTGCAGTTGACGATAGAGATACAAAAGCTGCGCAATCGCTTGAGTGCCATTGTGACACTCCTACTCTATTTAGTTTGTCCTGAGTTATATACATTCCACTAATTCCTATGTTTGCTTTTTTCTTCTCCACGATTCGCGTTACTGCCTCTGCAGATCTTAGGAAAGAAAGAAAAGGTATACTTCAGAATGTTACGTGAATATCAAATTTAAAAGTGGCATGTTTTTTACTGTTATTACTTACCCCACTTGAGTAATTTCTGTTGCTTCTTTATAGTCGGTTGTGAAATTATATTTCTTTGACAACATATTAACTAATCTCAATTCAATGCCTTCAAAAATGCTATCTCCATTTAGTGCTCGTCTGAAAATTATTGATGAAAACAAAATATGTATAGTAGGTATGTATATGTTATTAGACACGACGCTATTGAAAAATAACCAATGTTTAAAGCTTCCTAGACAAATGCCGTAACTTATGTCGTATCAAGACAGATATTGGCCATACTCGAGAAATAATAAATTTTTTATGTGTATTGGTACATACCCTGTTTATTAAGAAAATAAATTCAGAAATTAATTTTGATTTTCATTATATAAGGTTTACATAACCGCGACACGTGTTTTGCTATACATCAGCTTGGAGGAGCTATAGCACTATATTTCTTTGGACGTATTTTTTTATAAAAAATACCACTCTCAAATGAAACCCATGGAATAAATTCACTATTTCAGTTACGGTACATATTTTAACAAAATCCCGCGGTGGCCGCCGTGGTAGTGCGTCCGACTCACGATCGGAAGACCGTGGGTTCGATTCCTACCGTGACCAGATATTTTTCTCGAGAGAATTTATCTGGTTGAAGCTGGGATGATTCTGCAACCGTGTTAGGAATCACACGTTAAAAGGTAAGACCTCGTTAGTCCTTAGCTCGCACAAGTTTCTCAACTTCTGAGAGTTGTCGTTTGTATGGGGGCGACAGCTGATAATGGAAAACAGATTTTGAACAGATTTTTTTTTAACGTCAAATTTAAATTATAATTTGACATACTTCAACGAAAAAATGCTACCTTTAACCCTCGTCGAATGATAGGTACAACCCACAATTTTTTAAATGGAAAATATAGGCTTGTGTATATCGTTTGAAAGGTCTCTTCATTCTCTATTCAAAAATATTATCGTTTTCGAATTTATTGCAACAATTAAGATAAAATAAATTAAAATCATGTGGTTACCGAAATTCGATAAAAAACACTCGAAACTTATTGCAATATACTCAAAACTTATTCATGTTGAGGTGTTGATAATAAGAAAATAAGAAAAAACCATAGCAATGTTCTTTTTAGATGGTATCCTTTAAAAAGGTTGTCAGTATTTTAATTCAAGTTTAAAGTTCGTTAACTTCAAGTCTGACAAATGCTTAGATTAACGGAAATGCATAAAATAACAGTTTTACAAACTCAGATTAGATGTGATCCCTGAGTTTGAGAAAACCCACATACATCGAGAGTAAACATATTAAAAAAAAATAAAATGCATCCTTATCAAATGATACCTTCTCAGGAGCTTGTGGAAGACGATTTTGATAGAAGAACTTATTTTTGTGAGCAAATGATGGACATGTTGGATAACAATATTATCCAATTAAAAGACGTTATGTTTTCTGATGAGTGTACTTTTTCTCTTAACGGTCATGCTAATCGGCAAAATTGCCGCTACTGGTCAATGGAAAATCCTCAGTGGATGAGAGAGGAATACACGGAATACCGTCAAAAGGTTAATGTTTGGGAGTAGTTGTTTACAGCTGATTCTCGGCCTCCCCCCACCACTATGACGTATTAATTGCTTTTTTTATTGGTTGTTGTTTGGTGAAGTTTT